GCCATTTGCACTGTGTGCTCTGTGTCATGGGCATTGAGAATGGGCCAGCTAACAGTGTTCCTGATTTGAAATGTTGTGCGCTCCGCTAATATTTCAATTCTCAGCCACAGCGTTAACCTGCTGATTGTTTTCCCTCCTGTCTCACCTCCGTTCAGGGAAGCCCTCCTGATCCGCCACGTTTCTCATTGTTTTGTATCTCCTACTGTCTTGAATGGATTTCCTTCATTGTTTCCTGTATTTCTGATGTATCTCCAGAAGATAAAGCTGCTGCAAAGAAGGTCAGTTTTAAAATTTTTGTGTGAGGGAATTAATGCTCACAAAGCTTTCCATCACAGGGACTAGACAGAGTAATGCTCCCTGTACTCTCTTAAACTGAAAGTAAACTGCCAGTAAAACTCTCCCTACATTGTTCCCATCAAACACTCTCTGAACAGGTATGGCATGGAGTTAGCTACAGAGTAAAGCTCACTTTACTCTTTAGCATCAAAGTAAAACTGCCTTCACTCCTTTACTCTGAAAGTAAAGCTACCTCTACTGTATACAAACACTACCAGAACAGGTACAACACGGGGTTAGATACAGAGTAAAGTTTTCTCTACACTATCCCCATCAAACACTCCCAGGACAAGGACAGTATGGAGTTAGATACAGAGTAAAGTTTCCTCTACATTATCCGCATCAAACACTCCCAGGACAGAGACAGCATGGAGTTGTATACCGAGTAAGGCTCCATCTACAGTGTCCCCATCAAACACTACCAGAACAGGTGTGTTAGGTACACAGTAAAACTTGCTGTATTCTTTTAAAGTGAAATTAAAGCACCGTCTACACTGTTTCCATCAAACACTCCCAGAACAGGTACAGCATGGGGTTAGGAGTTAGATATAACTTGAAGCTTTCTCTACATTGTCCCCATCTAACTCTCCCAGAATAGGTACAACACGGGGTTATATGCAGGCTAAAGCTTCCTCCACACTGCTGAGTTAATCCAGGTTGGTGAGTTGAAGAGGAAGTGTAGATTAGCCAGATTTCTAATTTGTGCCCAATTTCCGCTGAAGTCCGTGGTGGTGTGCAGACCTCATCTGATTGGCATGTTGTCCAGCTTCATTTCTTGGGCTACCATATGTTGGGAGTTGTCTTTGAATTCAACTTGTATTAGGTACAAATATTGTCTTCCTTTTTTGCAGAATCCACAAATATCTGCATCCTTCCTCAGTGAAATAACGTTCCATTGGTTTTCCAGGTAAGGGAAACCCTTCAAATTCTAGGTTCCGGGAAATTTTAGGAATGTATAAAGGTCACTTTGTTAGCAAAACTGTGGGATTAAAGGTTGATAGAGGGCAGATTCAATTGTACCTTTCTGAAGAGAATTGGTAAGCACAGGAAATGCGTCCAGACTTGGGAGTTTTATAATGTTTTGAATTTGACAGTAGGCTGTCATTAATATGTTAACATCTGTCGATAGCATGATGCTGAAGGGATACAGAAAACCCCTAGAGGCAAAACACCTGTGGGAGTTGAATGATGTTGATAAAACGCAAACGATTTATGCCCAGTTTGAGCGACATATGATGCAAGGCCTGAAGGAGGTGCAGAGGAAGATGGAGCGAAAGAAGAACAAAGAAGTTCACAAAGAGACAGAACAGATGAATGGCTTTAGCAGGAGTACCAGTCAGGACATCTTAGTCATGGTAGGTGGCATACAGGACCCCACCTTATGTACTGTGCAGCATTACCTTGTGCAACCACTTCAATCTCGTGGATGAAGACACATGTTTTCTTCATGATGCCAAGGATCAGGTACAATGTTGTGTCAGTCACATGTACTGTAAGGAATTTGCAACAAGGTTTGCTTATTATGGGATGTTACTCAGTTTTGTGAGGTGATCTGCCACATGTCCACTTTGTCACCAACTTGCTTTGGATGTGTCTTGACAGCCCCAATCCTCTAACTGGGACGATGTGTCCCTTGGATTGTATCGGACTCCGTGTGCTCAGTGGGTGAAGAATCCCCTATTGACACTGCGGGAAGTTGATGGTGCCCTCGGCTGGGTTTAGATCATCAGCTGTGGTCAGGAATGCCCATTGTTATGCTTTGCCAGCTGCTTGGCGGCATCAGTGGGAGCTGGGCTCACCCATAAACCTTACCAATGTTTAAAACCAGAGTGTGTGACTAGCAATGACTCAGTGCTACTTGTCCTATCACAGAGATCCCATTTAGACCCTGTACCACTGAGTGCAGGACTAAAGCAGATGGTTCTGGGACACTCTGGTTGATATGATTGATTGCAACTAGAGAAACAGTTGGTCTTTTGCAGGCCACAGTGCAGTGCTCACCCTCCTGCAGCCCTGCAAATCTTTCATTTTTAAATTCTTGTTTGTCTCCTTGTTGAAAGTTAATTTTGAACCAACTTCCACCATCAGTCAGTATGTTCCTGATTATAACCCATTGTATAAAATAAATCCCCTCATCTCCCCTGGTCCTTGCACCAATTATTTTCAATCTGTGTCCCCTCTGGTTACCAACACTCCTTCAAGGGGAAAACAGATTCTCCTTATTTTACTTCGTGAGAACCCTATGTAATTTTGAAGATCTCTGTTAACTCTCACCCTCGCCTTCTCTGCCCTAAGGAGAGTCATCCATAGATCCATAGAATCCTTACAGTGTGGAAGCAGGCCCTTCGGCCCCACAAGTCCACACTGACTCAGACATTCCACCCAGACCCATTCCCCTATAACCCATCTAATCTACGCATCCCTGGACACTACAGGCAATTTAGCATGGCCAGTCCACCTAACCTGCACATCTTTGGACTGTGGAGGAAACTGGAGCACCCAGAGGAAACCCACGCAGACACAGGGAGAATGTGCAAACTCCACACAGACAGTCGCCCCGAGGGTGGAATCGAACCCGGGTCCCTGGCGCTGCGAGGCAGCAGTACAAGTTCTTACAGAGAAAAAAATTAGAAAAATAAAGAAATAAGAAGTCCCACATTACAGATTGTAGGAATAAATTAGCAAACTAGAGAAATAAAAAGTTCAGAATAACAGTCCTTCTGACCCAGCCCACACTGGCACCCAACCTGCAGTCCACGCTGGGCCTTGACTCCAGACTATGCTGGGCTTCACCTTGAGGCCGGGAGACTGCTCTGGAATCACCTCGAGCATAAATCCAGGACTCAATTCCTTATGAACTCGGAGCTGGAGTAGACCATTCAGCCCTTAGAGCCTGCTCCAGCAGTTAGTAAGATCATGGATTTGATCCAATTCACATGCCCGCCTACCCCTGATAACCTATCACCCGCTTTGTTTAGCAAGAACCTCTACCTTAAAGATATTCAAACACTCAGCTTCAACCACCTTTTTAGAAAGAGAATTCAAAAACTCACATCTCTTGGAGAGAAAAATCTTCTGCCTCATCTCTCTCTTAAATGGGTGACCCATGGTTTTTAAACAATGATCCCAAAATAATGTTGGATATCTAAAATAAACACAAGATTCTGAAGAAGAGTTACACTGGACTGGAAATGTTACCTGTTTCTCTCTCCACAGATACTGCCAGACCTGCTGAGTTTCTCCAGCATTCCCAGGAAAACATCTTCTCCACTTTGGGGAGCGCATCATAAGATAGCAGACCCTTGTGGAGTTTATTTCATGATAGTTAATGACCTGAGAAAAAAATGGAAACTTTTTGACTCCATGGAAGAATCTAGACATCCCCTCCCTGTGGTCGCACAGATCCCTTCCAATACTTGATTCATTAAAAAAACAAGGCAAAGCTTGACTAAGGGCCCCTCCATGATAGATTCGGCTTTTTAATTCTGTATTTCAGGTTGGCCATAAGACTTAGCCAATCAATGAAAGAAACAATCTGTCCTTAATGAGTTGGAAGGAGAGCAAAATATTTTCCATAGTATTTATATACACACCACCCTGACCTGGAAAAATGTCACCGTTCATTTATATACCCACCATCCTGACGTGGAAATATATTGCTGTTCCTTCATTGCCACTGGGTCAGAATCCTGGAACTCACTTGAGGGTTTGGGTTATAAGGAGAGGTTGAATAGGCTGGGGCTATTTCCCCCTGGAGCGTCAGAGGCTGAGGGGTGACCTTATAGAAGTTTATCAAATCATGAGGGGTATAGATAGGGTGAGTAGCGAGTTCTTTTTCCCAGGGTAGGGGAGTCCAAAACTAAAGGGCGTAGGTTTAAGGTGAGAAGGGAAAGATTCAAAAGGGACCTAAGGGGCAACTTTTTCACGCAGAGAGTGGTGCGTGTATGGAATGAGCTGCCAGAGGAAGTGGTGGAGGCTGGTACAGTTACGACATTTAAAAGGCATCTGGATGGGTATATGAATAGGAAGGGTTTAGAGTGATGTGGACCAAATGCTGGCAAATGGGACTAGATTAATTTAGTATATCTGGCCGGCATGGCTGAGTTGGACCGAAGGGTCTGTTTCCATGCCGCACAACTCTATGACTCTATGGCTGTTTAACAGCCTTATGGGTCACCCCAAGTACTGGAGGGGTTGAAGAAAGCAGCTCACATACCCTCCTCAATTAGAGTGATTAGAGATGGACCCCACATCATATGAACAAAAATAAGAAGTATACACAGAAATAGCCTCCTGTCAGTTCTCTTCATCCAATCCCATCACTGTGTACTATTAATTTTTATGTCGTTTCACACCATGTGGGTGTCTCTAGCTGGGTCAGGCTTTATTGCCCATCACTGTTGACCTGGAAAAGGTGGTGGTGAACTGCCTTCTTCAACACCTGCGGCTTTTTAGCAGCAAGGACCCCCTCAGTGTTGTCAGGGAGGAAGATTCAGGATTTGGACCCAGTGACACTGAAGGAATGGCAGTGTATTTCCAAGTCAGGATGGTGGGGAACTGGCAGTGATGAGTTTCTGTTCTGTAGCTACTTTTATTGGCAACATCAGATCATTGGCAAAACCTGATTTGCACGAGTTTCAGTACTGGTGAATTAGCATTGGTTCTGAATGTAAATGCTTGTGTGGTTATACTCAATAAGCAGACGGCCCATATCCTCAGATAAAATCCAGAATGAGCCCCGTGCTGTCCTGGTTCAAAGCTGAGTATCTCCGCCTGTGTGGAGCGCCAGACTTGCAGGTTTCATTAACACCTTTGTGATTCTGACTGCACCTTGAACAGTGTCTCTGTCTCCCTCTTTCTTTAGGAAGAAAAGACCAGGAAAGACAAAAGGAAAAAGTCTGAGAAGGTGAAACTCGCACCAAAGACAGCTGAGGGGTGGCTGGTGCTGTCAATGCTTAAAAACCATCGACACATCCTCATCAAGGGGTTCATTTTTAAATTGCTGCACGATGCACTATTGTTTGTGAATCCACAGCTGCTGAAGTGAGTGGACTTGTACGGTATTAAAGATATGGAACAGGGCATTCAGTCCGACAGTTCCACGCTGTTGTTAGTACTCCACACAAGCCTCCTTTCCCATCTCTCTTCATCTCACCCAATGCACACATCCTTCTGTTCTTTTCTCTGTCTTGTGTTAATTCAGCTTTCTCTTCAATTAATCAATATTATTCACCCCTACTACTCCCTTTGTATTCTCCCCACTCTCTGTGTAAAGAGAGTTCTTCCGGATTCATTAACAACCGAAAGGACTGCGGATGCTGTAGATCAGGAACAAAAACAGAAGTTGCTGCAAAAGCTCAGCAGGTCCAGCAGTATCTGTGAACAAAAATCAGAGTTAACGCTTCGGGTCCGGTGACCCTTCCTCAGAACGCAGCAGCTGCCAGACCTGCTGAGCTTTTCCAACAACTTCTGTTTTACTTCCGAATTCATTGTTTGTTTTATTAGTGACTGTCTCAAAGCTAAGGCTCTGTTTTTCCCCAAAAGCTGGTATCACCTTCCCTCCATCTTCCCTGTTAAGCCTCTTCATCTTTTTAAGAATTAGAATGTTGGTCTTTACCTTAAGAGAGCAAAATGTCAAAGAATGGAAATTATAGAAAGCCTTGCGTTTACATAGCACCTGTCATGACCGCTGGACGGTTCAGCCAGTGGAATACTTTTCCAAGTGTTGCACTGTAGGAAACTCAACAGTCAAGTTGTATTGAGTAAGATGCCACAAATAGCAATGTGATGATGATCAGATGCTCTGTGTTGGTGGTGGAGAGAGACGTACTGATCGAGACATTGGAGAGATCTGCTGTGCTGTTCTTTGTGATAATGGCACGGGATCATCCAGCCGAACAGGCAGATGGGGACTTGGTTAAGCATCCCGTTTAAAAGATAGCATCTCTGGCAGTGCAGAGCCCCCTCAGTGCTGCACTGGAGGGTCAGTTTGGATTTTTGGTGCTGGATCCTGTGAGTGGGATTTGGACTTTGTGAATGTCTGTTTAATCCCCTGTCTCTCGCTATTTTCTCCAAACTTCTTTATTTCGGCCCTTCTCCTGCTGAGCCCTTTCGAGCCCATATCTTATTACCTCCATATCTTGTTACCTCCTGTTCTGAGGAAGGGTCACCGGACCCGAAATGTTAACTCTGATCTTTTTCTTCACAGATGCTGTCAGACCTGCTGAGCTTTTCCAGCAACTTCTGTTTTTGTTCCTGATTTACAGCATCCGCAGTTCTTTCAGTTTTTATTTCTTATTACCTCCAGATTGGACAATTCCAAATGCTTTCCTGATCACCACATTCCATAAACATCCATAGATCCAAATATTTTGGTGCCCCAATGACTGTTTCATGGTAAACTCCTTTCTTCTGTCACCTCCTATGCTCATTGACCCACACTGACTCTGGCCTGGGCAACTATTTTAATTTAAAATGATTTCAAAACTTCATATTCTTGTTAACCCCTGCATAGTCTCACCTTTTGACTCCAATCTCTAGCCCCACAGTACTCTGAGATCTCTTCCAATTCTGGCCTCTTGTGCATCTCCCAATTTCAAACACACCACTATTGGCCGCTGCACCTTCACATGTTGAGTCCATAAGCTCTGGAATTACCTCCTTAAATCTCTTTGTCTCTCTCTCTCTCTCTCTCTCTCTCCCTCTGCCTTTAAGACTCTCCCTAAAACCTATACTTCCTGAGCTCTGCTGGTCCCCTGTTCCAACAGCTCCTAATGTGACCCAATTTTCTTCAATCGGAGAGTGAGGAGTGTGTGGAATTCTCTGCCATAGAAAGCAATCGAGGCCAAAACACTGAATGTCTTCAAGAAGGAGTTAGTTATAGTTCTTAGGGCTAAAGAGTTCAAGTGGTATTGGGGAGAACATGGGAACAGGGGACTGAGTTAGATGATCAGCCGTGATCATGTTGAATGATGGAGCAGACTCGAAGGGCTGAATGGACTACTCCTGCTCCTGTTTTTCTAAGTTTTATTTGGTATTCTGCTGTGGAAGGGATATTTCTTACATTAAAACAGGTGCTGTATCAATAGATAAGTTATTGTGTTGTGTTTTTTATTCACATCTGGCACTTGGCCATTACCGGCTGAGCCAGCATTTATTGCCCTTCCTGAGTTAGCCTTGAGAAGGTGGTGGTGATTTGCCCTCTTGAACTGCTGCAGTCTACGTGCTGTAGGCACATACACAATGCTGTTAGGGAGGGAATTCCAGGATTTAGACCCAATGACACTGAAGGAACAGCGATATTTTTCCAATGGTGAGTGGCTTGGATGGAAACCTGCAGGAGGTGGTGTTCCCCTGTATCTGCTGCCCTTGTCCTTCTAGATGGAAGTGGTCATGGATTTGGAAGGTGCTGGCTGAGGATCTTTGGTGAATTTCTGTAATGCATCTTGTAAATAGTCCGCACTGCTGCTACTGAGCGTCAGTGGGGGAGGGAGTAGATGTTTATGGATGTGGTGCCAATCAAGTGGGTTGCTTTGTCCTGGATGGTGTCAAACTCCTTGAGTGTTGTCGGAGCTGCACCCATCCAGACAAGTGGGGATTATTCCATCACACTCCTAACTTGTGTCTTGTAGATGGTGGGCAGGCTTTGGGGAGTCAGGAAGTGAGTTACTGAACTGATGAAACAAGCTCAGCATTTCTCTGTTAGATGCCAACTTTAAACTTTTTTCAACCCTGTATTTTCTGCTCCTTTTTTTTAATAAACAGGCTAATGGTTTCCTTCACTGAGGACATGTCTGTTTACCAGTGGATGGGGTATCTGTATGCCGTGCTGCTGTTTGTCGTTGCCTTGTTTCAGTCTCTCCTGTTGCAGCAATATTTCCAGTGTTGTTTCCTGCTGGGGATGCGAGTGCGGACTGCAATCACAGCAGCTGTCTACAAGAAGGTACAGTACCTGAGAACGGGACCAATGCTGGGATTTGAGTGATAGAAATTGTGGGATTGAAATTTAAAGACTGGATTTGAAGGATCCAGAATAATTGGGATTGCAGGAAAGCAGATATTTTGGAGGATGGGGAAGGATCACAGACATACGGAGGGGTGGAGAGTTTTGAAAACTAGGATGAGGGTTTTATAGATACATGGCTAAAGGGATCAAAGAGTGTGAGGTGAAAGCAGGAACAGGGCACTGAGTTAGATAATCAGCCATGATTATAATGAATGGTGGAGCAGACTCGAAAGACTGAATAGCCTACTCGTGTCCTTATTTTCTCTGAGACTTTTGATGGACTGGGAGCCAGTGAGCAGGGTGGGCAAATGATGGATAAGTGGGATGATCTGATTAAAGATTAAAAGCCCAGAGCACATAAATGGGAGACATTTCTTTGTGAGCTACTACTCTGTCCCCTGAATCATTTAATAGGATCTACACTCATTCGCGAATGCACTCTGGCTCTGATTCATACCATAATGTTCTAAACTCATGTGGAATGTGATCTCCTTTCTAACCAGGAACATGTCCAGCTTTGCTTGAAGGAATTCCATCAAACTGTCCCCTCATCCCCTTTTGCCACCCTCTGGATGGGTAAGGGAGTGTAGTATCAGGGTGGGGGCAATTCCAGGTTTACTCTGAAGCTGTTTCTTGGTGGTTCTGAGGATGTCACACCATCTCTGTAGACAGCCTGTTACCTGCTCACTCCCATAAAGCCTACATCGAGGGCCCAAATCAACTAATTAACTAACTGGAACACATATTGCCAATAATGTGATTGTGCTGGGGGAGGTCAAAGTGGGGGCAGGTATGGGTGGGGGGTGTGGGGGAGTCGTGTAAATTCACATGATGTTCAAATTAGAGCTGTCCTTTCTCCTGATCTCCGACAGGCCCTGACTGTATCCAACACAGTCAGCAAGGAATCGACAATGGGTGAGATTGTGAACTTGATGGCTGTGGATGCACAGAGATTCAATGACGTCACAAACTTCATCCATTTGCTGTGGTCATCTCCTCTGCAGATTTTGGTGGGGGTTGTTTTCCTGTGGCAGGAGCTGGGGCCCTCGGTCTTGGCCGGTCTGGCAATCATGATCCTACTGATCCCCGTCAATGGGATATTGATGAGCAGAACCAAGAATCTACAGGTAACAAGATGCCAATTCTCAAAGATGCCTTTACCAAAATTAGTCCAAAGGGCCATGGCAAGGGTGCAGAAGAATGATCTATTACCAAGCATTAACATGTGGATGATTAGAGAAGGTGAGATCCATTTTGATTATACTCCATTCCCACCTCGTTGTATCTTCTTTACTAGGTTTTGGCTCAGCTCCTCTTCTATTAATACCTACTCTTCATCTCCATCACTCCTCTACCATTGACACCTACTCCTCATCTCTATCACTCCTCTACTATTAACACCTACTCTTCAACTCTATCACTCCACTACTATTAACACCTACTCTTCATCTCTATTGCTCCTCTGCTTTGTTGTCTTTTGCTGTGGGCACCCTCACCATGTGTTCCACTCACTCCTCCTCACTCTTTGTCAACAGCATAAAAACATTATCTTTCTAGTCACTTCAGTTCTGAAGAAGGATCACCAGACTCGAAACGTTAACTCTGTTTTTCTCTCCTCAGATATTGCCAGACCTGCTGAGTTTCTCCACTATTTTCTGCTGTTATTTCAGATTTCGAGCAGCCACAGTATCTTGCTTTTATTGCTAGGGAAGTTGGGACTGCTTTCCTCAGAGCAGAGAAGATTAAGTGAAGATTTACTTGGCCTATATGGGGGAGGCCATTGAGTGGAATTTCCTCCCTTTACCTCACTCCCCTCTCTTAAATCAACCTCTTTGGCTGAGCTTTGGTCTCCTGTCCCAGTATCTTGTGGGGTTTGGTCTCAAATTTTGTTTGGTAGTGTTTCTGTGAAGCATGTTGGATCACTTTAAAGGCACTACATAAATGCACAAGTTGCTGTTTCTTTCTTGTTGGAGGAACCATGTAGATAGATGTTTGGATTCTTCTCCTCAGAGCAAAGAGATTTATTTGAGGTAGGCAAGGAGAAATGTCTTCACTGATAGGGGGGTCAGTTACCTGAAACACAAGTTTAAGGTAATGAGAGTTGTTTGAATCATGAGGAGTTTACATAGGGAGAAAATGGTTCCAGTATCTGAAGGATCTGCTATAGGAAGGATATTAATAAACTGGAGAGGTTTCAGAAAAGATTTACAAGGATGTTACTGGGACTGGAGGGTTTGAGTTATAAAGGAGGCGGGGACTTTTTCCCTGGAGCATAGGAGGTTGAGAGGTGACCTTATCGAGGTTTATAAAATTGTAAGGGACACAGATATGTTGAATAGCAAAGTTTTTTTTTTCCCTAGGGTAGGGGAATTCAAAACCAGAGGATGTAATTTTAAGGTGAGAAGAGAAATATTTAAAAGGGACCTGAGGGGCAACATTTTCACACAGAGGGTGATGCATGTGTGGAATGAATTGCCAGAGGAAGTTATAGATGCAGATACAGTTACAACATTCAAAAGACATCTGGACAGGGACATGAAAAAGGTTTAGAGGGATATAGACCAAATGCAAGCAAATGGGACTAGTTTAGTTTGAGGAACTTGGTCAGCATGGAGGAGTTGGGCCGAAGGGTTTGTTTCTGTGCTGTATGATTCCATGACTCTAAGGATTGACAATCAAAGAGCACAGATTGAAGGTGATTGGTAAAAGCATAAGAGGTAACTTGATTGAAAGCTTTTTCTTTTATGCTCTTGGAATACAGTATTGATAGGGTGGAAAGAGACAGCACAGACTCAATGGGTTGAATGGTTTTCTGTCCTAGTCTGTGAACATGCTCAAGGAATTGAGTAACCTCCTGCTGTTAGTCATTGTGTAATTGGGTTGAGTTGGTGTGCTATCAGATAAGTGGGCAATGCCATCCTGATCATTAGAATGATCAGTTCTTCTTCAAGTGAGGTGTGCGGTGTTCACCTGCTCAGGTGGGTGGCACAGGTTTGGAATAGAGTATCAAAACAGCATGGACCAATATGATAGAATGACCAGCTTCTGTAGCTTCGGATCTCAGATCACTACAAAATATCAGAGAAAACAAGAGCAAAAAAATCATTTTTAAGTCACTCCTATTGGTCATTGCAATATTTAAGTTGGGCAAGTCTTTGAAAGCAATGACTACTTGCAAAACAAATGTTAATATGACCTTTTATTCCAACAGATGAAGAACATGAAACTCAAGGACCAAAGAATGAAATTAATGAATGAAATTCTGAATGGAATAAAGGTAATTTCCATATATGGGTGCAGGAAACCCTGCTTGGAACAGTGAGAATGAACAATATTGCGAGTTGATAACTGGGTGCATGAGGATATGTGGCATTTATTCCTAAGAAACCCTGACTGCCTGATATATGTGCCTCTCAGAGAAACTCAACATTAACACTAACAATTAATCTGCTTGATTATTTCCTTGTAAACATTCAGGTACTAATCTTCTGAGTCTGCAGGGGTGAACAGGTTGGGCTTAAATTTTGACAGGGAGATCATGAGGTGATCTAATGGAAGACTTTGCAGCATGAAAGAGCACGCATTTGTCTAGCACCTTTTGCAACCTCAGGATACTTCAAAGCCCACAGCCAACGAATTACTTTGGAGAAGTATTCATTGTCATCGGAAACATGTTAGTTAATTTAAGCACAGCAAGGTCCCACAATCCGAATTGTGATAATCAGTGAGCGATCAGTGAACGATCAGGGATGTTGATTGAGGGATTAAAAATAAAGCCAGGAAGTCAGGAAACCCCCTCCCCTGTTCTGCCTTGCCAATAGTGCTCATTGGATCTTTTTAATCCACCTGAGAGAGCAGATGGTGCTTCATATTAATGTCTCATCCAAAAGATGGTGCATCCAACACTTCAGCACTTCCTCAATACTGCACTGGCATTGTCTACCTGGATATTTGTGCCCAGGTCTCCGGAGTGGAACTTGGACCCAAGACATACTGGCTGAGTAACTATCAACCATTGTGTGGAAACATTCAGCTGTTATGGGGCCAGATTTTCTGAGAGCCAGGGAAGGGATTGTTTGATGGTGAATTGTCAGTGGTTGTCATCATCACTTCTCTGAGACTGACTGCAAGTTCATATTACCAGACACAGAATTCCTAAAGTTATGTTCTGTCACTTAGGACTCTGTCACAGGCTGTGTGTGCTAATGTCGTGAATGTCTCTATCACCCAGTCAAGTGTCAGTGCATCTTCTCAGATCATGCCCCATTCCTTATCAATGTCTGGTACTTCTCTGTCTTCTAACTCCACAGCCTCTCCGATGTTGTTTTGTTTGTACAAGATTTGCCGACAGATTCCTGCTAACACTGGCCTGTAGGGTGTACAAAGTCCATCTGTAGATTCACTCACTGCCTCAGAAAAACAACATTTTAATCCTTACATTTTTATTACCTTTAGCAATGTCCTGCTGATCAGACAAACAGGACCTTGTCATAAGGTCCGATCCTCTGACCGTTCAGCAATGAGCATGGTGCTCCATGGTTCTGTGTTTGATTATATGTGTCCATTGACTGTTCATTGCTCACCGTGTATGATGAGTTAAGCCTGCATTTGGTCATTTGGATATAGTAACTAAACTGAAGTAGGTTGCTGTAAGGATGAGAGAACAGCCATTTTAAAGCATTCAATGCTACATCTGCTTTATGTGTTGAAGCAAGTGTATCATAGAATCATAGACTCCCTACGATGTGGAAACAGGCCATTTGGCGAACAAGCCCACACCACCCCTCTGAAGAGCATTCCACCCAGACCACCCCCCTACATTTCCCATGTCTAACCCACCTAACCTAAACATCCCTGGGCGTTACGGGCAATTTAGCATAGACAATTTGCCTACCCTGCACATCTTTGGACTGTGGGAGGAAACCAGAGCACCCAGTGGAAACCCATGCGGACATGGGGAGAATGTGCAAACTCCACGCAGAGTGTCGCCCGAGGATGGAATTGAACCCAGGTCCCTGGCGCTGTGAGCCACCGTGCCGCCCACAGTATCATCTTGCTGGGGAGGTAGTATTGTAGGCCTTGTAGTATTATTGCTGGAATGTTAATCTAGAGTCCCAGGTGATGTTTCTGGGGCCCAGGGTTCAAATCCTGCCATGGCAGATGGTGGAATTTGAATTCAATAAAAATTTGGAATTAACAGCCATATAATGATGACCATGAATTGATTGTTGGGGAAAAACCCATCTGGTTCATTAATATCCTTCGGGAAAGGAGACTGCCACCCTTACCTGGTCTGGCCTACATATGACTCCAGACCCCCAGCAATGTGGTTGACTCTTAACTGCCCTCTGGGAGGGGCAATAAATGCTGGTCTAGCCAGAGACACCCACATTCCATGAATGAATGAATAAAAAAAAACTCTGCATATCTCCAATACAACAGCAAGTAAGTGAGGTAAACTCGAAAAATAGGAGGAAAATATCAGTGAATCATGTAACAGATTGCAAATGGCATAAGAAGGACTGTCGTTATTGGGCAGTATGTCAGCTGTGGATCAGTGGGTAGCACATTTACCTCTTGAGTCAGAACATTGTGGGCTCAAGTCTCACTCCAGGGCTTGAGTACAATAATCATAGGCTGTTGCTCCAGTGCAGTACTGGGGGAGCGGACTGAGCTGTTAGATTGTACTCTTTTCCAAATGAAACTTTAAACTATCTACCTCCATTGTTGGGCTTGGTCAGTAAAATGCTGGCAGTGTCATCAACAGTACTATCATGCAGCACTTGCTCAGTAACACTCGGTTTGGGTTCTGCCAGGGCCACTCAGCTCCTGACCTCATTACAGCCTTTGTTCAAACATGGACAAAAGAGCTGAATTCCAGAGGTGAGGTGAGAATGACAGCCTTTGACATCAAGGCTGCATTCGACCGTGTGTGGCATCAAGGAGCCCTAGCCCTAGAAATTGGGGCAAACTCTCCGGTGGTTGGAGCCATACCTGGCACATAGGAAGATGATTGTGGTCAGGAGTGTGATTGAGTACTCCCCATTTGCTTGGATGGTGCAGTTCCAACAATAATCCAGGACAAAGCAACCCACTTGATTGGCACCACATCCATTCAGTACCTCGACCAATACAGCTCAGCATCAGCAGTATGTACCATCAATGAGATGCACTGCAGAGATCCACCAAATATCCTTAGACAGCACCTTCCAAACCCATGACCACTTCCATCTAGAAGGACAAGGGCAGCAGATACTTGGGAACACCACCACCTCCAAGTTCCCCTCCAAGCCACTCACCATCCTGAATGGGAAATATATCACCGTTCCTTCACTGTCGCTGGGTCAAAATCCTGGAATTCCCTCCCTAACAGCATTGTGGGTCTATCTACAGCACATGGACACCTACAGCAATGGTTCAAGAAGGCAGCTCACCACCAGCTTCTTAAAGACAGCTGGGGATGGGCAATAATTGTTGGCCCAGCCAGCAATACTCACATGTCATGAGTGAATTAAAAAAGATGAAAGATTCTTAGGCACTGGAGAGACCAGGGGAATTCTGCCTGTCGATATTTATCCCTCAGTCAACATTGCAAAAACAGATTATCTCTTCTTTATTACTTGTCTGTTTGTGGGATCTTCCTGTGTGTAAATTGGTTACTGTGTTTCCTGCAGCATAACAACGAGAGTACTGTTTTAAAAAAAAGTACTTAACTGATTGTGAAGCAATTTGAGGAGTCCAGTGGCTGTGAATACACAACATGCAAGTTTTTATTTCTTAAGTTCATCAGATGACTAGATGTGCTAAGGAAGTGTGGTCAAGCAGGAACAAGTTGTGTGCTGAAGGTTGTCGTTTTTATGTTCGAAGGTTATGAAGTTTTATACTTGGGAGCCTTCATTTGCTGAACAGATTTTTGGAATAAGAGACAAGGAGTTAAAGGTGATGAAGAAATCTTTCTATCTGTTGACCGTTGCTGTTTTCCTTGTCACGTGTATGCCCTTCATGGTGAGTGATTACCATTCTATTAGGTTTTCTTGATTTGAGAATCTTTTTGTGCATTTGTCAAAGAGGTTTGGTGTCAAAAAACTTCGCAGAGTCACAGTGGTGTGTTATGGTGCAGAAGGAGGCCATTCAGCCCACCATATTGTATCAGCTCTTCAAAGGAACAACATTACTTACTGCCAATCTCCCGCCTTTTACGCTGTACCCTTGCACATTATTTCTCTCCAAATATTCATCCAATACCCTCTTGAATGTCTCAATTGAACCTGCGTCTGCCACATTTCCAGGCAGTGCATTCCAGACCCTAACTCCTCATAATGTGAGAAAGTTATTCTCATATCGTATTTACTATCAATCTATGTTGTTGATCCTTTCGCAAGTGGGAACAGCGTCTCCCTATCTACTCTGTCCAGCTCACTCATGATTTTGAGAACCTCTATTAAATCTCCTGTCAGCTTTCTTCTCTCCAAAGAGAACAGTCACAAATGCTTTGGTCTAACCTCATCACTGAAGTTGCTCATCCCTGGAACCCTTCTTATAAATCGCTTCTGCCCTCCCTTCAGTGTATTCACAGCCTTCCTGTGATACAGTGCCCAGAACTGTACATAGTACAACATCCGAGTTCCCAGTGTCTTACACAAGTTCTTGTGCTCTGTGCCCTGATCATAAAGCTAAGGATACTGTATTTTTTTATTAAATGTGCACTCCACCTGTCCTTCTGCCTTCAGTGATCTGTGCACACATAACCCTTTGTCCCTCTGCTCCTGTAGTCCTGTTAGAATTGCAACCCCCTATTTTATATTGTCTTTCAATGCTCTTCCTACTACAATGCATCGCCTTTCGCTACATTTACATAGCACCTTTAATGTTGCAATTGCTTCACAAAAGCATTATCACAGTTTGACCCTGAGCCACAAAAGAAGGTGTTCAAGCAAGTGACTAAACAGGTAGATTTTCAGAGATAGTAGGAACTGCAGATGCTGGAGAATCCGAGGCAATAAGGTGCAGGGCTGGATGAACACTTTTCTGATGAAGGGTCTAGGCCCGAAACGTCAGCCTTTCTGCTCCTATGATGCTGCTTGGCCTGCTGTGTTCATTCACCCCTGCACCTTATTGCCCCGGTAGATTTTCAGGATTGTCTTCAAGGGAGATGGAGCGATGGCATGAATTCGGGAACGAATTCTGGAGTTTAAAGCCCAGGTGGCTGAAGGCACGGTGACTAACTGGGAAACAATGAATATTACGAATGTTCCAGAGATTGGAATTTTAGAGGCACAGGGCACAGGACGGAATTCCAGGCCAAGAAAGGGTTTGAGAACAAAAGGCAGGGTGAAAACCATGGAGCACTTCACTCACTGGGGATTGGGAGGGTCGGGGGGAATGGGGTTGGGGAGACTTAGTGGACATTGGGGTATAGAGGGATGGGGAGACTCACTGGGGATCGGGGGTTGAGTGTTTGGGGGAATGAAAGGGGGAGATTGACTGGGG